ACTTGGTCCGCGTGCTACTGATGCTTTCCTAACCTCGCACTCTTTTTCCTTCCCGTTGACCTTCAGAATCATTAATGTACTGTCCAGATTAAGATAACTGAGCAATATTAGTCAACAACACATTGTTTACACGTAAACTCAGTTTTAGAGCGAGCTTTATATCCAACCAAACGTCTTTAAGTTTTTTGGAAAGTACTTGCTCCAACCGCGCTTAGTATCAGTCGAAGCATTCGGTCAATCAGTATTAATTGTTTCTAGTTTATACCAAAACCAAACAACTTATACATACTTGCTGTGCCGAATATGAACTCTTCTCTCCACCCAATGTTGCTCCGCTGGTACTGCTAAAAAATTATGGAAGAAAGTATTGTTAGCACGAGCTTGTCGCGAGGTTTCTTGACTACATACAGGGGCACCCAACGGATCTGTTCCTCAAAATATCTGTTCTTCAGGCAAATTTTTGCTGGCTGGAAGATTTGGGAAAAATAATATGTCCTTGGAATGAAAGTGTTGCTGGGAATAGCTGTCTAGAATAGCTGCTATGTGCTATTGTCAGAAACCTCTCCCCCCACCTCCCCGCCAACTGAAGGGGTCAATTTTGCCCTGTGACCACACCCAAACTGGCCAATTAAGTCTGGACATACGCCTGCTGGAAAACTTCCCAGTAAGTCAAATTGCAGGTTGTAGGTGCACCTTGTTGGCTGGGAACTCTTTCATCAGTTTTACTGGGAGTGAGGAACAGATACATTTTTCCCAGCAATTTCCCAAAATGCTTAAAATGGCTTCAGAAAGCTTTATTCATGCTTTGTTGTCTCAAAATTTCCCGTTGGGTGCCCATGTACATATTCAATAAATTCAAACCTGTATATAATGGCCCTGTATATAGCGGTCACCGGACAGCTTCCCAAACTTTTCAATTGCCTTATATTTTCAGCAAATGTATATAGCGGTAACTTTGTATATAACGGTCACCTTACCATTTTTTAAGGGTGACCGTAGTACACAGGTTTGACTGTAGTACAAACAAGAAATTTGTCGCGCTTTTATTACACTCAGCAGGTAAAATCATACTAGTAACACACAGCTACAACTGAATGTAATTCTCTTTGGACACGTCTGACGTCTGCCTTTCCTGTCATAAGAACGCGCGCTTTCACAAAGACCTTTGTGAATGGGCAAGAAAGAGGAAATCAAGAATTATAATAATTTTGTGACAGATTACAGAGTATAGAGACTACAGAGTGTAGAATAATTGTAACAGAAATTTCCATTAATTTTTTACACTTTAAGAATACACGGTAGCTCTTACGGTTCTCTGATACAAAGCTACAAATTTTCCTCCCTAAAGGTGCTATGAGCACTCGCATTATTTTTACATGGTATAGTAGTACCATAGCAATTTCAGTATAACCTGCGAAACAGGCGACAAAAACGGAGGGTCGGGTAAGAAGTTCTCTGATATAAAAGTACTTTTTAGTTGTAACACAAATGACACTCGTTTTCGCACAAAAGGTTTTGCACTTGGTCATATTTTAAGTTAACGGTTCTACTCGGAAATGACATATTAATTAATAACACCCTCAAAATTACCACAGCAGCTCTAGCGGCTGTCATAACTAAAAACTGCAGATGAATATACTGCCTGTCAATATATGAAATAATTCATAGGTCAACTAAACGTGCTTTTCACCAGGGCCCGGTTCCTGAAAGGTCGATTAGCGCTGAACCAGGATTAAAATTTCGTTCCGTTTTTGTAATTTACCTTCCTATGCATTGCTTAGAGTAACAGTCTTTGTGTTGTCATTATTGTATCTCGGATCAAAGGCTCAACAGCTAAATTCAGGTGAGGGAAACAAAGAAAAAACAACAAAAAACCATTTACTACAAGACTCACCGGCTTTTTTTCTCAACTTGAGAATTCCTGCTTGCCTAAAAAAAAAGTATTCACGCAATCAGTTAGAGCTAACGAATTACTTTTTCTGCTTTGGAAAAGAAATATACCATATAACATGCCGAAATCTGATTACATAACGGGTGTCAAAAGTGCTCTGCTATATTTTAAGGTAACAGGCAAGTCTGATGCAGACCATTTTGGCGATTTTGGACCATTTTTATGGAATACATGGGTTTTCAGCTCCAAGTGCCCCGGACTCCAGAAGGAAACAGCACTAGTTTACGCAACACACAAAGTGTAAGCAGTTTTTTTCGAATCGTTTCAATACAAGTTAGGAGCTACTTTGTCCATCGCCATACATTCTGTTAAAAAATCAAAATTTGAACAGATCACAAGGACACTGCACGCAATAAGTGGTCAATCCTGACTGGACAAGATCTTGCCTGTTTCGCTTTTAATCTTGCTCACCCGTGAGGCTACCCGAGAGAAAGGATCAACAGAAGGCGAGGTAGCTAAGCTGTGCTAGTCATAGCTCGAGAAAATAGCGGAAGATTTTCCACGTCAAAACAAGAAAGATGCTAATTAACATATTAAAATAAACACCCCTTCATATCTTATAACTGCCAAAAAACGGACAATTGCTATGAAGACGGGAGCTTTACATAGATCGAGGTAAGCATGTTTTCAAGTTTAAAACATATTTAAAGAAAAAAAGTAACAAAAACCAATGGCTTCAGCTAGCTTTCATATGAATTTGAAAACCCATGCCGATGAGGCACATAACACACACTTCGATCTGCAAAATTCTCCATATCATACTTGACCTCATCCAATAACTGCTAATTATTCGTTTAAATATTTTCCCGTTTCTCAATGGCCTAAATCCCAGCGCTATTTCCGAAATCCTAAAACATAAATCACTCTCACGGATAATTGTTCCGAAAAAGGATAACAGAAGGCAAAAATAAAAAAATAAGTCACGCTATTTCCTAAAACATAACAAGCACAGTAAAAATAGCACTGATGATAACTGGTATTTGAGGCCGAATATCTGCTAGACTACATCCCGTTCTATCGTGAATCTTGGATTCTTCCCTCCTGTGTTATGATGTCATCGATCGAGGTAAGCATGCTTTTAAGTGTGAAATTTCTTGATTGATATATTGATTGGCCTAAATCCCAGCGCTATTTCTTCACAACCAGCTTCCTTTGTTTGCCGAAATCCTTAAAGACGAGCCACTCTTACAGTAATTGTTCCTTAAAATGGATAACAGAAGTTGCGGTGCAGTTGTTTTGTTAAGAAAACAAAATTGTCAAACTATTTCCTAAAAACATAGCAAGCACAGTAAAAATAGCACTGATGATGACTGGTATTTGAGGCCGGATGTCTGCCATCCTCGGAGACCGAAGGGCAGTTAGTCGGGACGATACAATGTCCGTGGTGAAAGTTTACTGTAAGATCGAGACGAGCTCGTCTCGACCTTGTAGTCTATCTGCTAGACTACATCCCTTCCTATCGTGAAATTTGGATTCGGTTCTCCTATGTTACGATGACATCGATCGAGGTAAGCATGTTTTTAGGTGCGAAATGTTTTTTAAATGAATAATGAAAATAACTAGCGCATTCGTCTTTCCCATGATGTCAATAATTTAATAAATAATTAAGAAGCTATTGAAGGGTGTTATTCTCCTCGCCTGAACACCCTCCTCGATCTGTATTATTTTTCATATCGTTCTCAGCCATATTCAGTGACTGCTAGTTACTATTCTTAATTACCTCTAACGCATTTTCTGATTGCTGTTCTCCTTCTACTTCATTGGCTTCTTGGTTATTCTGAAGAAAAATGTAACCTCTATTAGACTCAAGTATATTAAGCGGACACCCTTTATTAAACCCCAATTTGTTCCCACGTTTTGCGTGAATCTACTCTGTCTGTTATTCACGTTACTGGCTGCTATAGGTTGACAAACTGTCAATTTACAAATGAACCAAGCCGTGAAATATCAAGGGGCGTTTTCCAGATTCACGGGGTTTTCGGGCAAGCGTTTCCTCCCTTCCCCCTCCTCGTTCACCCTTCGATTTTCTTGACCATTTTCGTATTGTCCAGTAACACAACTAAAAATTGATTTTAATTTTAGTATTTACCAACTCAGTGAACAGCACTTTTCGCGCGTTTTGATTGGCTCCCGTAACTCGGAATATCCTTGGCTATTCACTGTTTTGTGACCTGAGCCAAGATGGCGTCTCGCTTCGAGACATTTTCGGAGCACGAAATTTGAGCGATAAATGAAGCAGTCGTACAAACAAATACCAAGAAAGCGACTAACTTTGCCTTGCCGGTGTCTACTGGTATAGGTAGAAAATTGTTTTCATGCTGAATTTGCAACAAAATCGTAAAAATGCACTTGAAAAAATCCCCAGAATGTTAATGTAAATTATAAAAAAATTACCTATTCAGTGACATTTTTTAATTTACAAAAAGGTACTTTTTTCATTTTTATCCAACCGATTTGGTAAATACTAAAACAACTAACCCCTCAGGGTCGGTGAACAGCGCTAGATATATACCTCGACACTTCGCGTCTCGGTATACCACCACTATTCACCTCCCCTTCAGGGGATAGTTGTAGAATATTTATTGATTCATGACATATTTTAAAGTCAATTAAAAAGCTAGCCAGACTTCCCCATAGCTAAAAAGAAACATATTTGTTCTTAGTGCGATTTGAATCTATTAAACATTCATCCATATTTAAATGTTTCTACATAGTTTATACGATAACCTACGCGGATACATACTTGCTCTGTTGGATCTAATCTCTCCTCTTTGTACAATGTGGCTCCAGAGGGACCGCTAAAAAAATTAAGAAATAACGTATCGTTACACTGGCGTTGGACATCATTCAGAGGGCAAATTCATTTACAGCATATGCGTATAACCGATGTATTTGCCCGTTAAAAGGAAAAAACTTCTCACGAGCAAATAGCCTGGTGTAGGCTGCAAATGAATCCACCGTAAAGGTATGGACAAAAAAGAAGATAAATTAGGAACATTTAGGGCAAGCCTTCAAGCAAAAAAATAATTCTCACTCAAATACTGTCAGTTTACCTTTCCATGTTTCCACGGTCTTCGCCCCGCGGCAAATGCACCCTGATAACTTTGAAATTAGGTGTGGAGTTCCTCAGGCCGATGGCGAGAACACGATTGAAGGGACAGGCTGCTAAACACGTCACGCGACTTTCCACATCAATTTCATTTGAAAGTTCACCAGATCTGACGTTAAACAGCTGAACAGTTTTGTTAGAACCAGAAATAACACATGTGTCGTCACTGATAAACGTACAATGCCGTAAGTCGGAAAATGTAGAAGGACGTAAAGTACGGAATGTGTTTCCTGTTTCGGCATCCAAGACCAATATGTCGCCAGTCGTGCTAATAACAAGGAACTGTTCCATAGGCAAGAAAGCCACACCCTTGTCACAAGGGTACCTGTTAATACCTTCCTTTCCCCAAACAACTGTTTTGCCATCCAAAAGCTGAAGAGAGTACGAACAAGGAAGAAAAAACTGAGTTGCCTCAAGAGTCCTTTGAATTAACAGCTGACATTTACTGTTGCAAGTAAGAACTTCTCCTTGTAAAAGTGGGATTGTTGACACAACTTTGCCACTGATTGTATCTAGGACTTTCACATCAACCTCTCCTACGACTGCTACTCGTTCCTCTGATATAGGGATCAGTTGTTTGACTCCAGGCAAGTTGATCCACCTTTTGATTGGTTCAGTGAGGTTACCACTCCACAACTCAACAGTGCTTTTATTCGTTAAGATTAGGACTCCACCACTAACAGGACACAACGGACGGTACGGTAAAGGCCAGCAGTTTATCTCAGCTTTAAGCTTCCCACTCGACACGTCATAAGCAGTGACTGATGATGCAAACCTAGCAACAAACACGGTCTGACCATCCAAACTGAGTGCTATCCCAGAAGCTTCAGTATCTACGCCTTGATCGTTTCTGTTTACGTATTTGGTATCCACCATTTCTATTGCTTTCAAAGAGAAACGTAGCAGACGTTGCTTGTCAAGACCAAACGTCAATCCAGGCAGATGATATTTTGTGGAAATAAGATCGCCAAATAAAAACCCACAATCATTAAAAGATTCAAAAGTCTCGGAATCACCAGACACAATCGTTAAGGAAAATGTGTTGTTTGCTTCCTTTACAACCTTGAGACAAAAAAAGGAGCCTACGAATATGCCTTCTGCAGCGTAACAAAAAATGAATCGATGATCAAGTGAAAACTTTACCATGCCACATACTTTTCGGGTACCCATTTGTGTTAGTTTTCTGAAATTACACATCACATCATACAAACTAATCACTCCCGAAGAATGTGAAATTACAAGAAGCCTTCCATCACCAGACCATGCAAAAGATAAAATGTCTTCATCTTCAATGATTCGATCAACCTTTGAGCCATTTTCTAAACTCCACAACACAAGGCATTTAGAACTCTCAAGACAATTAGTTAGAATCTTGGTCTTGTCGCCTGAAATAGAGCAAACTGAGAATCTACAGTTACATCCGGGAAAGAGCGGTTTCAAGTCTCCGTCCATAGTATAGACCTGACTTAGAATTCCAGGTAAAATACATTCCTTTGTAGGGTGGAAAACAACAGAGCGGAATAATGACAACGCGTTTACTGAAGGTAAATTTCTAAACACGAAGACGAGGCGCCCGAACTCCTTGAACTTAAAACTCTTCTCTATTAGGACTGGACGTGTCCACACTAGCCTGCCGGTATGGAGTGACCACAGATGCAGCATTCCGTCAGTACATTCACACACCATATAATCCAACTGTGGAGAGACGTCCAAACAGATCACTGTAGATGAACATTGAAATTGGGCTACAACACCTCCCTGCTGCGTCTCCTTATGAACAACCTCCATATATGGTATTTTAGGATACCTATTTTGCAAAAGATTTGACGCCTCAACAGTCAACACTTTTCCTCCTTGGTTAAGTATGGTTTCAAGAAACCTGCTAGGGGTATCCGTAAGTAAACGGAGGTTCTTCCTCAATACAAACAACCAGCTGTCCACAATACTTTGGTTATCTTTTGATAACAACGCAAAAACCCCCTGCTTTTTAAGCCACAAAAGGTCTTCAGCAGCTATTGTGCTGTTCACGAAGGTCTTGGCATGCACTACTTCTAAATCAATAATGTAGGCTTTTGTCAGTTCGTCCAGTTTATGTGGCTCTAACTTGACGCCTTCGTGTAGCATGTGATGTACACCATGATATAAAGCGTACTTCTCAGTGGCGCCAAACTGAAGGCTATCGACACCTTTAAGCTTTACATTTTCAAGTTCTTTAGTACACAGGCACGCAAGTAAGCGATGACCCTCGTTTTCATCCATGATGAATTCGTGCTCCCCATAACATGAAATGTCTGTTAACCAGTCTTTAACTGACTTGTGAATGACGTGAACACAATCGTCACGGATGGGCAGAAGTGCAGACACACTGTCCAAGGCTCTCAGTACTTTACGTTTTGTTAGTAGTGAATGGGTACCTGGTACTAATAATTTAGAAACAAAGGCCATTGGCAAGGGCTCCCTTGAAGCGGTAATGGCAGATAATAGATTCAGCAAATGTTCTTCCCTTACATTAAGTTCCTTTATGAGTTCACATTCCAAACGCTTGAAATAGGAATGATACACGGCAGTAATTCCTGAGGGTGAACTGCCGATAAGGTCTCCCTTGTGGAAAACTGATGGATTTTCCGTAATCGCCAATATGAGAAAATGAGCGTACAGCATCAGTCCTTCAGATTTCAACACTAGCTTTTCTATAAACTCGCCCACATTTTCTAGCTTGACCACGCGTTGAAGTCTCTTTAGGCAAAATACTCTGACATCTTCTATATTTTCTGCATCATTACACTTCAGTTTAAGTGGCTTCAACTGTTTTAGTTTCTCTGCAATGTTTAAGGCTGGACGTGTCGTGACGAGAAAACTAATCCAAATAGGAAGCTTGCAAAACTGATTTGCAATCACATCAAGAAGCTCATTTCGTCCTTGGTATTCGCTTTCATCCAAGCCATCTATCACCATGAGCATGTTTCTTCCTGGGTCACCTACAGCACTAAGAGGTTCCTTGAAAAGCAAAGCAAACAACTCCTCCACACCCATGTTGTTGAGATCTGTTCCCAGATTTCTTGATAGTTGTTCCGAAAGAGCTTGCTTGTATTCTGGCAGGGCATGGGAAAAGTGACAGGCAAGCGACTGAATCATTAACTGAGGCTTACAGTAGCGTACATTGTTATACTGACAAAAATGGCTTCCTGACAGTCTGCCAGCCTCTTGCATTCTCTTGCAAATCACAGCTGCGATGACAGATTTTCCCATCCCTGCATTTCCACTGATTACCATCACGCGGTTTTGAGAGCTTCTGTCATCCAGCCAGTTCTGAACTCTGTCAAAGACCCACTCACGCGTGCCTTCTTGAAATCTCTGCACATAATATTCAATGTCTCCCCTGAATTCAGACTTGGTGAGATTTCTAAGGACCTCGCCTGAGCTATTTTTGTCTTTTCCTTCTTTTAAACTATACATTGCTTCCTTTATTTCTTTAAGACCTGTTGCAACTTCTCTCACGTTCTGATTCACTTCTTTTACGCTTTGGTGAGTTTGGGTATGTATGTGATGCATGTCTTCTACTCTTTTTTGAGTCTTGTCCTGGCTCTGATGTATTTCTTTCACTGTCTTTTGAGTCTTTACTTGTGCTAGACGTACATCTTGAACTGCTTGATGTGTTTGGCTTTGAGAATGATGTATGTTCTTCAACTGTGACTTAATATCCTCTTCACTGTCAGCCCACTCAATCAACACGTCAATATAATCTTGCTCTCCACCTTTCTCTGCCTTCAACCTATCAACTTCCGCCTGATCGAGACCAAGACTCACAAGAACACCACTAATTTCAGTCCACAGAGCGGAGGAAGTTGGTGTATCAACACCAGTGGTTGTCACATGACCATACAAGATATTGCGATAGAACTTAACCCGTGCAAGGTTAGCCTCATGAGACGTGTCACTTAGGGGTGGTTTAGTGTGCCATCCTGAGGGGGGAGGGGTTAGTCCACAAATGTTGGTCAGAAGAAGAAACAAAAGAGTGATGTCAAAGGTGTTGGAGTCTGGAGGGACTCCACCAGGTGGAAATAGTTTGTCCCACTGATGGCCATTTAGAACTCGACGACGTAAGAGATTGTTAAGAATGGGGTAATTAGCATTTAAGTCAGTAATCAAGTTTGCAGGAGGATGATGACCATCAAAAATCTTTCTAAGAACTGTTGTTCCACCGTCGATAAGAAGCCTGCTGAGCTTGGCTCCATTTGTCTTCTCCACAGAGCTGGCCAGGGGTGATGGTGCTGCGGCAGCCATGAAAAGGTTCACTACATATTCCTGCAGGGGGAAGAAAAACAATAAAAAATTGTCCCTGTTACTATCCTATTCTGAAGCAATTATTCCGGAAAAGAACTGGCTTAAAACAAGCATTAAATTTTCTAAATTCCTAATGGAGTATGTCTAAATGTCGCGGGTCGCGACTCGCGGGTAGAGGTCGCGGGTGCGGGTGCGGGTAAGTGTCGCGGGTAAAAATAAATCACCAAATTTTTAAACAAAAAGATAAAATAAACAACGACAAAATTTTTTTAACGAAGACTAGTCAGCAGCACAAAGGAAGACTTATTGTAGTTGTACGCTTTTTCGTTTATCTCCGACGCGTTTCGTCTCCTACTGAAACTTCTTCAGGGAATGAATACAACTAACAAAGAACAGCATATATAACACGTTTTCTGCGTAAGTAAAACTTCGATTGAAGTGAATAATAACTTAACTACGCTGTAAACGGACGTTATAAGAGACGTCTTAATACATATGTTATTGCGTGTTGTTATATTTTGGGGGCCATACGATCAGCGATAATCGTATGGCCCCCAAAAGCTCAACGGAACTATCGGACTCCATCAGGATAAAGAATCGATCGAACTAAACCTGGAAATGTTCTTCCTTTTTGTCAGTGTGAAATCAGAACTACGAAAGTTTTACCCATGTGCACGGGTATTGTTGCCGTGATCAAGCCGCCGGTAACGTGGGAAAAATTCGGTTTACCAGGATGGCAAATTCTTTCGTGCTACCGCGCCAAAATTGAGCACGAACGACGAATGACAACTCTCGATTCATACTTTTTGCTGAGGAATTAAGTACACGCAAGTCTCATTTAGTGCAAAAAAAAAAAGTCAAAGCTGCATTTTCGATGAACCAAATTATGTCTTCACATATACATAGGGTAAAAACCATTTCTTTTAAAAGGACAAGTCACATAAGCTGACACTACGGACCCCTACACTGAATAAAGAAGGGGTCAAGAAGAAGAGAGAAAACATAGGGGATGGTCAAGAATGTCGTTCAAGGGGAGGGGAGAATTTCTTACTTCAAAGAAGTAGCCACCTATGTAAGATCTTGTTGGAGGTCTTAATCATTTCTTTTGGTTTAATTTCAAGAGCTCGTAGTTGAAAAACAAAAAAGTTCTAATTGAAGTATTATAAGGTCTTCTTAAATGTAATAGCTATTTCTAACTCTTTCCTGTCTAACCTATCACAGCGCTTAACTCTGGTTTCACTTGCCAATTCCAGGTCTTGGGGCGGGGGAGAGGGGGGAGGGGGTCTTGACGAAATTTTGATTTTTCCATTTTTCCTCAAAAATGAAGAGTGTACTAGGCATGGAGGAAACAAGATTTAAGACTGATCACTCGCAAAAACCTACTGGGAGATTACGCATTTATGCCACCAAAATTAATTTTATTTGTCTTGATTTGCAGAAAAAAAGAAAAAAAGAAGTATTAGTTAAAGTTAGTTTTTCAGTCCGATAGCGTTTCGGCTGTTAAAGGCGGGCACTGAATTTTTACACTCCCTTTTCAATACACTTCGCTGCTACATATAGGTAGTATAGAGGTCAGCAAAGGGCCAACTACGTTTTTGTAATATTACAACTTAGTACCCTTAAACCCTTGGGCGTACAAAGTAGGGGAGTGGGTGAAATCCCCGGAAGGTTTTTTGAATCAACAGCCAAGACAAGTCATGACATACCGTAAAATTCCGAAAATAAGCCCCGGAGCTTATATTTTTCAAAGGCCCTTTTTGAGGGGCTTATTTTTGGAGGGGCTTATATTCGGAGGGGCTTATATACGGAGGGAAATTTGCGTTTCAAAATCGATTGGGCTAGCCTTATAGTTGGAAGTAAATTTACCGTTTTTGCTTTGTTTTACTTTGTATTTGAGGACATTTTCCAAGTACAAGCACCCGGGGGGCTTATATTTGGAGGGGCGATTTAACGGAAGATTTTTTGCGTTACCGGTTTGGGGGGCTTATATTTGGAGGGGCTTATACATCGAGGGGCTTATTTTTGGAATCTTACGGTATCCACTGATACTTTTCTTTTCTCTATCAGAACTTTAACCTCCTCCCCAACAAATCCCAAACGCACGTAGCTTGGTTACTTAGTGCAATTCTAACTAGCCAATGTAGTTTTAATCATGTGGATTTTTCTTTAGAGACTTTTTCCTTTTTATCGCCCTTAGTTAGCTTTAAAGCATTTAAAATCTTCTCTGAAAGATAATCAAATTTTCCTTTATTTTATTAACAATTTAATGTTAAATTTGGTGATTTATGTTTACCCGCGACCCTAACTCGCACCCACGACCTTTAACCGCACCCGCGACATTTAGACATACTCTTCCTAATGCAGTACATCAGCCTCCAAAGTTGACCTTAGCCTCTTCATGAAAGCGAGTTCTAGTGCACCATGACTTTTCACGTGAAGGTGTGTAACATAATCTTCACGTGAATGAAAAGTGTTTTACATACAGTGTATGAATAACTGGGGTGCTTACGATCATAAAAATGATTTTTTTTCCTATTCAAATTTATGAAAAAAAGAGGAAATTACAATATCAGAATTCGTGTTACTAAATCTGCTTAACTAAATTAACCTCTTTTCTTCTTGCAGTAACACACTCTTCAACGGTTTTGTATAACAAATGACAGAAAAGTCTGTTTTCTTTAAATTAGACAAATTTCAAATCATGCATGTTAATATTTTGTTTGACATGACACTTGACTGACTGTAATCATATCCTGTTCTTAGATACCAGATTTTGGGAAGTGGAGTTGTGCCCCAGCCTTCCGCTCCGCAAATCCCTCTGTTTTGTTCTCATGCTGTTCCCCAGATTTATCATGCCTAGTTATAATCACCCTCAAGACACGACAAAAAGGTTTATGGAGGGGAGATTGCTTTGAGTTAGTTCAATGCTGTCCCTAAAGGAGTTTTAGGCTCGCTGATATCCCTGGAAATACTGCACAGTTTTTAGACAGCAAGTAGTAACGTCTGTGTCCATAATGCCAAAACTGTGTGCTGGATCGTTCATAGAAATTTGCATTTCAATTTTCAATTCCCATGAGTTACTCTCAGAACTCTCAGTGATGCTGCAGCGTTTAGTCTGCGAGCTCTTGCGGTAATTTTCACCCGGGCAATAATCTTATCCAAAATTCAAAAATTAACATTTTAAGAAATTATTTAATTACTTAATACAAGCTTATGCTAAATATTTATAAATATATCAAATGAAATCATCAACTTACCCCCTGACATTGTCTTTGATCATTGCTTCAGTCTTTTATTTCTCCTCTTTAGTCCACCATCCATCCAATCTGTCAGTCATGCAATTCAAATTAATTAGAGATCAAAACAATCTACAGTTCTAGCCCAGCATGCAAAATACCGTAGTTATTCGGTTATAAGGCGCACTCGCTTATAAGACGCACCCCAAACTTAGCAATTTATTCAAGCTCTCAGACTGAAAATTACGTGAAAATACTCAGTTATAAGACGCACCAAAAAATTGAGAGTTAACAGAAGGATGCGATGAATTTGAGAACAATTATCCTTACAAAATTGGCATGTGAAGTCTTGTTAACGTATTTCGTTTAGTATTCTTAAGATACAACTGTCTGATGGCGAATTAGCTTTGGGCAGTCCGGCATTTTTTCTATTTTTTTCTCTCTCCACAGTTAATTGTCATAACAGTTATAATTGAAGCATTTTACCTGGATAAACTACTAACTGAAAAAAGAGAATTTGTTTTATTAATATTTTTCAAAAAAAAAAATTGTCGCAATTCTCAATTTCTGATTGGCTCAAATCCCAACGCAAATTCTTGATAACCAGCTAGCGTTGACCAAATTGAGAAGATGTTTGTGATATCCAGGAAAATGACATCAATAGTACAAAAGCTATTGCCACAAAAAATATCTGTATAACTGAGAAAGCCCTGGGAATGAGTTTGTTTTGAGCTCAGTAATTTTCAGAGGATGGAGCTGAAAATGGCAGAACTATTGATTTTGTGAGGCAGAGATACCTAAACATCTGCATAAAAATCAAGACCAGCAAAAATCCATTTCAATAAATGACAACTGCTATTTGGAGAACATGATCTACTAAATTTAACATCCATTTGTATCCTGAATTTGCTGAGGAAATTTAATGAAGGCAGGAAACCCTAAGAGATGAATAACATCTGTTGCTCCAAAGACTTAATATAACCTATATAAATAGTAAAAGAGCAGCAAATAACATGAATAAAATACCTGAAATTTAAATTTGCAAACTTCTTTTCATCACTGCACAGAATAAATGATTGGTTGATTTAGAGAAGATCAACAGTTGTATGAACTTTGCTGGGAAAATGTTTTCAAAATCTGATACCTGAAAATAAAATGTTGAGAATGTTGTAAGTTATTTTTATTGTTTATGGTGAAAATACACTCAGTTGTTCGAGCTAGATTAAATTACAAACACTTCACTTAAATGCTGGTAAGCCAAACTTGTCACTACACAAATCACGGATTTCACAAGATTTCAAGCTTCCAGGTAAATATGCAACAAGTAGGAGAGGAATCAAGCAGCTAGGGATTTCTTTTGGTTCTATTGTTCTTCCATTTTCCTATGAAAGTAGCCAGGGACTTGTTGTTCATAGTAGCCGGGGGAAATTCCAATCCCCTGGCTCTTAACGACGTGAGTCCTGCTAATGCTTACAAAACCACAACCTATATAGTTACCAAATCAGTATTAAAATGTAACTGGTTGTTACTTCTTAAACCTTTAGTAACTTTAAGTAACAGTCATTTTGATATATATGTCGATCACCTAATTGTCTTGATTGTGTCACCTGTAACTAGTGACCTGCATTGTGGCCCAGTGTCACCTCACACCCCCTTTATGGAAAACACAAATTCTACACCAACCCCTACACTGCAGAATGGTAAATCAATCTTACAGGGCTTCCAAAAAAATATAACAATCCTGACCTAATACTACTGCATGAG